CTTGCCTACGGAAGGAAGACTGGGACTCCATCGTTTTATAGATTTGGTTTAAGTCTTTAGTATGAAGCTTTGGTGGAGATTTCATTTGAATAATTCTTGATGGGTGTGGATAGATATTACAAAGATGAACATCCTTTATTTATTAAACTCATTTACAATTTATCTCTGGGGTGGCAATGGATTTAAAATGTGGTTAATATTACTGAACACAATATCGCATGGTGGCTAGAGAGGCAAATTTTTAGATGAACACAACTTTGAGTATCGGTAGACCATATCTTATATATAGAAACGTATTTCAATTCAACTTACATCTAATTATTAAAGCTGCTATCGCAGGGAAACTTTAGAACATGCAATTAGTGTGTCGGCGTTTCTCATCACTAATTGGCTTGCGAGTACAACATGTATGGGAATTGTGGCTGATTCTATAGTTACGCCCGCATGAAAATTTAACATGACAAGAAAAAATTTAAATATGGAGAAAAATTAGATGGACTATCAAAGCTTTACACAACATTTGACATCTTTTCCTTTTATAATTTGACTTTTTTAAGGCAACTCTCCAACAATCTCCAGCTTGACGAAAAAGGAGCCAAAACTCTTGCCATCTCTTTTACCGCTTTTCACTAATATAATCGGAAAAATTGGCTCATTTTGATAGTTCCATGCTCCAGTACAAACAGTGTAACCACTTAGAATTTTAAAATTCTAAGAATTTAGCCTCTGTCTGGGTTGCATTAAAATTAGTTTTTGGATAAAAATGTAGTTTGAAATGGTGATTTTCTAGAGAATGTGTAGTGGAAAAATAAGAAAAAGTTTCGAATTTACATGTAATATTTTTTATTGAAAAAGATACGATTAAAAAGAAAAAAAAGTGAAAAATGCATTTTGGAGTAAATAGAGCCAAAGAAGGGGCTCATTAGGCTCATGTCAAACAAACCTTGTTGAATAGTTATGGCACCCTTGCTTGACTGTCTTGGGAGTTTATCAGCTATCGCCATATAGAAATTCAATCACACACCTTGCACTAATATCAACCCAATGCCCTTGTACATAAGTAAGGATGATTAGTAGTAATATATATCCTATATCATGGCAACTATCATCTGTCATGAGGATGTACGTACCCTAATGTGGCGACATCGTTGTCTCTGATAAAGAGAGGCATTGTGGGATTGCTTTTTGAAGAAAATCATTAATGAGATTCTATAAATATAAAAATGACAAATAATTATACGGACTATATGAAAAATTTGTACAATCATATAGAATTTCTCACCATCCCAAATCCCAAATATAGTAGTAGATATAAATTTGAACTTTACCGTATATCCAATTATCTACACTTTGTATTGAGCACAAAGAGAACAAGAAGACGCCATATATGCCAGACTTACATTTTTTCCTCTGAAGTAACCTGACATGCACAAAAGAGAGCATAACATGTCAATATATAGAACATTGCTAGATTTGACCTAAATTTTCCACCAAATTGTCTTCCCAGTGTCAACAGTATTTGGCATCCTTTCTTTTTACATTTTGGCATTTTTTTAGGCAACCTCGCAAAACAACAACTAACCCATTTGACATGACTTTTGAAAAGCGAAAATAAGCTTTTAAGACCCAAAAACTTGCTTCTAGAATCATTTCTCATTAGACTAATTTTATGAAAGTGCTTTTAGTAGTTAGAGAAGCTTTTAAAGGAAATTGGTTGTATGTGGCTTACATTAAAAGTAATTCCAAAATAGGAAGTACTTTTAAAAATTAGTTTTCAAACAAAAATTAAGGTAACTTTCTCTAAAAGAACTTTTTTGGAAACTAAAACAAAAGTAAATGTCATGCAAGATGGATCCAAAATTCATTCCAACAACTCGTTTAGTTCATCTTTCTTTCTTCTTCTTCTTCTTTTTTTTTTTTTTGGGAAGGTCAACAGTAGAAAATTTAATTAATTAAATCTCTATTATCACAGTCGATATAAAATAAGGAACACAATCCAGACCTAATTAGCTAACTCATAGACTCACGTAGTATAAGATAGTGATAGAGAAAATCCCTGCCCCGTGAAGAGAAAAAATAACATAAAAAATAAACGGGATAGCAAACGGGGCAAGTCGTTGTCCCGTCCCGCTGTCATGACTAGACTGTAAAATGCAAGTTCATGGGCATCTTTCAGGCAAGTTTGAGCTATCCCGACTCATTACTATTTTCTAATTCTTATGGCGTGCAAGAAAAAAAAACTAATAAATGTAATGATACAAAATTTAAAACAATGTATGTAATTAACAAAATGGGAATTTGGCACAAACGTCCCTAACCTTTGCCTTAGGTGTGCAAATTGTCTTAAAGTTTGTTTCATGGAAAAGTCATCCCTAATTTATGTATTTAGTGTCCAATTGGTCCCTTTATAATGAAAAAGACCCCGTAGTTTTAATTAGGGAAAATTGCAATTAGGTCCCCAATATTTATTTTTAATTTAGACTATTAAATATCGTTGTAATCGTGCCAATTATATTTTTCAAAAGGGAGAATAATTTAAGGCGTCATGCTTTAAGTGTGGCTTCTACAACAAATAATTTCGAGGATCTGACAAAGATATAAGCAAACATCAAAACTCAATTAAAGGAACAAGAACATTTTGAAGTGTAAATTTTTGTGCCACCCGAGTGAGAATATTATCGCTCGAGCGCATCGCTAGCTTAAATTGCTTGCTCATACAACCTCTTAAATTATCAAAAAGGTCGCTCACAGTACTCTTGTTTAGAATGGAACAAATTGTAACAATGGTAGCAACAACATCTACTGTCCCAAGAAGGACCATGGTTGCTAACGAGACAACTTGGAGAGGTCTGTTGGGTATAGAAGAAGATAATTTTGAGAAATATGAGATTTTACTTATGAAATTTGAGGGATAACAAAGGAGTTGGTACATCACACTCTTTCTCTAATTTTTGGAGAGATTTTTCTCACTTCTTCTACATTCATAACACTAGATGAATACCTTCCTATTTATAGAGAACATTGAGTAAGCTAGTTGGGTATAGAAGAAGATAATTATAAGAAATATGAGATTTTACTTATGAAATTTGTGTGATTACAAAGGAGTTGCTACAACACACTCTTCCTCTAATTTTTTGAGAGATTTTTCTCACTTCTTCGACATTCATAACACTAGATGGATACCTTCCTATTTATAGAGAACGTTGAGTGAGCTAGTCCTAAGAAATTATTACACTTACAACAAGATAATAGGTGTATTTTATCATCATTTACAGCTGTTGAATCTTCAATTCCAGCTATATTTGAACATCAATATGCTGCTTGAAGATAATTACCAGATTTCAACTTGCATTGTTTGAATATTGAAGTTGAGTATGCAATTCGAATTGAAAATCTTATCCATTTGACTATTCAATGAATCTTCATTTGTTGCTTGAAGTGTTCAATTTGGATTTGAACTCTTTGAAGATAGATTACAAATTAATCTTTTAACACCCCCTCTTATTTGTAATCTTCAAATACTTCTTAAACTTCTCAAACTTATCAATCGTCATTGGCATTATCATCATATCAGACGGTTGATCATTGGTATTTATAAACTCCATGCAAATTTCTTCTTAATTTACCAAATTTCGTATAAAGTGATGTCGAAGTTCAATATGTTTTGACCTAGCATGGAAGATTGGATTTTTTGTCATCGCAATTGCCGACATATTGTCGAAATAAATTGTTGTTGGTGCTTCCTGCTCAAATT